ATTAAAATGTGTTCACAATATGTTTCAGTCCAGTTATCTGTTTGAGGAAGGCACAGATCTACATCATGCTTTGGAAACGGACACCTCCATTTTTGTGTACTTTTTGACTAAAACATAATTGTCAAGAAGCAGGTGCTCCTGCCCGAAACAGCCTTCAATGTCTTTGCTATTTGGGAAACAGCCTTCAATGTCTTTGCAATTTGGGAAACAGCCTTCAATGTCTTGGCAATTTGGGAAATAGCCTTCAATGTCTTGGCAATTTGGGAAACAGCCTTCAATGTCTTTGAAATTTGGGAAACAGCCTTCAATGTCTTTGCAATTTGGGAAACAGCCTTCAATGTCTTTGCAATTTGGGAAACAGCCTTCAATGTCTTTGCAATTTGGGGAACAGCCTTCAATGTCTTGGCAATTTGGGAAACAGCATTCAATGTCTTGGCAATTTGGGAAACAGCCTTCAATGTCTTGGCAATTTGGCAAGAAGGGGAATACAGGAACAACAAGTTCTACTCAAAGAACAAGATGTGATTCAAGAGTTTTCTGGGCTCTCCTAAGTGTCATCACTGTATTTGAATAAAGATCTTATTGAAGAAGACAATCAGCTGCCAAACTGATTACAGCTTTGCTCACCTCACCCTCCAAGAGTTCTTCGCAGCGCTATCATTGTCTCACCTCACCCTCCAAGAGTTCTTCGCAGCATTGGCTCTGTGTGATGAGGAAGAGTCAGAGAGAAGGATTACCAAGCTATTGGAAGGATTTACTGATGGAATTGCAATCAACTTGGGAAATGCAATTTTGCCATTTCTATTTTGCCTGTTTAACGAAAAAACTAGTTGCTTCCTGAAGGAGGAATTCAACATTGACCTGCCAGCTGATTCCCAGTTACGAAACTGGATAAAACAATTGACTTACCCAACGTCATTCATGAATCGTAGTGGTTTGTGTGTGTTAAATTGGCTCTATGAGCTACATGATAATACTTTTGTTGGAGACGTGATTGAGAACCATGTAAGCATAGAGCTTTCAGATTGTAGTTTCTACCAAACATGTAACTTATCATATTGCCTTAAACTATAGACAAATTAAGAGCCTAAGTCTCAATTGAGTTAAAAGGAGTACAGCCTTACTTACAGAAGTATGTAGAGCTACATGTGAAAAGGCTCAACTTGCAGGATGGAGAATATGAAATACTGTGCTCTACACTGAAATCTCCCAATTGTAAAATCCATACGTTGAAGTTTGGGATTTATTCTGGTCCCTCCCCACCATGAAATGGTACATCTCTGCTCAGCTCTTCGGAAGAACAACAGTCTGACTCATTTCAGTGCGAGAATAGTCAATCATCTTTATGATGAGCAAGTGGCCTAGCTCCTCATGGCTCTTAGTGTGCAGCAAAACCTCTCCTCTGTTGAACTTGAGTTGAACAAGTTTGGCAAGCTTAATCGTGAGTTGTGAAAGGCTACACAGTGTACATATTCACTTGAATGGCATCGTTTTCCAGCAGTGATGAATGGCCATGGTGTTTTCGTTTTCTTGTTATAAGACGAGGCTCGCCAGAGAAGACCGTAACTGTAACAATATTTGATGCAGATGGTCAGGCAAATCTTATCTCTGAAAATCTTTAGAGTGCTGCGGGTTGCTAAATCACTGGTTATGCCAACTGGTCAGATAGTCAGAGACTGTCTTCCATTTTAAGCGGGATGCAATTTCTCACTGAATTCAAACTACAGTGAGGGAAAAAAAGTATTTGATCCCCTGCTGATTTTTTACGTTTGCCCACTGACAAAGACATGATCAGTCTATAATTTTAATGGTAGGTTTATTTAAACAGTGAGAGAAAGAATAACAACAAAAGAATCCTGAAAAACGCATGTCAAAAATTTTATAAATTCATTTGCATTTTAATGAGGGAAATAAGTATTTGACCCCCTCTCAATCAGAACGTTTCTGGCTCCCAGGTGTCTTTTATACAGGTAACGAGCTGAGATTAGGAGCACACTCTTAAAGGGAGTGCTCCTAATCTCAGTTTGTTACCTGTATAAAAGACACCTGTCCACAGAAGCAATCAATCAATCAGATTCCAAACTCTCCACCATTGCCAAGACCAAAGAGCTCTCCAAGGATGTCAGGGACAAGATTGTAGAGCTATACAAGGCTGGAATGGGCTACAAGACCATCGTCAAGCAGCTTGATGAGAAGGTGACAACAGTTGGTGCGATTATTTGCAAATGGAAGAAACACAAAATAACTGTCAATCTTCCTCGGCCTGGGGCTCCATGCAAGATCTCACCTCGTAGAGTTGCAATGATCATGAGAACGGTGAAGAAACCATTTTCTAGTGCTTCTTCAATGTAGTTCTCCATTGCCTCATTTTCTGAGATAGATAGGGGGTAAACACGGCCCTTCGGTGGGGACACTCCAAGGAGTAAGTCAATAGCACAGTCCACTGGGTGATGTGGAGGCCTTGATTTTGTTGAAGACATTGCTGTACTGTGAGTATTCAGATGGTATAGTGGGTGGCACTGCAGAGGCAGAGTCCTCAATGGTGGTGACTCTGCAGGGTAGGCTGAGACAGCTGGTGAAGCAGATAGAAGACCAGGACAGTGGTTCACCTTGTCGCCACGAGATGGCAGGGTCATGATGACAAAGCCAGGGGTGTCCGAGGATGAGTGGCTGTTTGGGGGATGAGAGTTCAATGAGTTGAATGGTTTCAGTGTGGAAGACTCCAATCTGGAGGGTGACGCTCTGTGTCAGGAGCGTAATGAAGCCCATGCCCAATGGCTGCCCATCCAGGGCATTAATCCTTAAAGGAGGGGTGACAGGTGACAAACTGAGATTAGGAGCACTCCCTTTAAGAGTGTGCTCCTAATCTCAGCTCGTTTCCTGTATAAAAGACACCTGGGAGCCAGAAATCTTTCTGATTGAGAGGGGGTCAAATACTTATTTCCCTCATTAAAATGCAAATCAATTTATAACATTTTTGACATGCGTTTTTCTGGATTTTTTTGTTGTTATTCTGTCTCTCGCTGTTCAAATAAACCTACCATTAAAATTATAGACTGATCATTTCTTTGTCAGTGGGCAAACGTACAAAATCAGCAGGGGATCAAATACTTTTTTCCCTCACTGTATGCATCAGAAGCCTTAATGACGAGCCACATTCCTCCTCAAGATATTAAAGTTGTACTGCACTTGGCTGACACAGGAGGCGATCAGAGTACTTTGTGGATCCCAAGGGCGTAAAGACATCAAGTTAACAGTTTCTGGGTTGAGATGTGACAAACCAGAGTATCAGTGCTCTAACCTGAGACAGGTAAAAGAGGACTGCAACTCTCTCATCACACTTGAGATACATGGGGGAACATTCACAGAGCAGCTAAATGAGTGCAGGTGTTCACAGTGGTGGTGTTCATATTTGATTGCCTTTGGCAATGAGGTTAGCGGAGTATAGATTCTGTAATTGTTGCAGAAGCTAGGAAGGCTCATAGTTAAGACTGGAATGGAATAAATGGAACAGTATCAACCACATGGAAACAGGATGTGACAGAATTATGTGTTTGAAACCTTTCCATTTATTCCATTCCAGCCATTACAATGAGCCCGTCCTCCAATTTGGTGGCACCAGCCACCACTGGCACTAAAGGGAAATCTCCACCCACCCGGGACACTGGAACCAAAACGAACTGTGGCCTCCATAGGCTAAGTTACTGAAATCGAGATTGCTTGTTTTAAACACTTCAAAGACTTACAGTAGATATTGCAGGAGAGGGCAAGTCCTTGAGGGCCTCAGTGTCTACTGGTATTTGTCTCTCTTGAACCTAATCAATGAACTCATTAGATTGCTGTGAAACTGCAGTTACTACCATGCTGTACTTAGGTTGTGTGTCAAATTAATAATGTTGTACATGTGTATCATAATTGATCCCTATATTTGTTCCAGCTTGTTTCAAATGTGTTTGGAAAATGTTTTATTGCTCTGTGTGTAAAGGGTATGTACTTCTCAAGACAAATCATAGTCTTAAGCACCTATGACCTAAATGTGACCTATAAATGCCTTTATACAGACAAAATGAAAAGGAAGGGAGCTAAACAGTGGATGGCTAATGAGAATTTACCCCAGCACTAGCTAAACCCTGTTTCCTTATTGGGCTGCTAATCACATCGTCAAATTATTATTACGTGCTAAAGCTATTAAGCCTACCCTGCTTGTGAGATTACCATTTTAGAGTTATGCTGAATTACTTACAGTGCAACAGCTTGCTGTGTAATAAAACATTAAATATGATCTACTGTAATACATTATTCATAAAGTCTTCATTAAAGTTGTTTTGCTTCACTTAAGAATGTGTCTTAAAATCGTCACTCAGGTTTCTTATATTGTTACAGTAAATGATTTGATATGCTTTAGCCCACATTTTTATTGAATTCACAAGGGCTTTCTTGAGTAGAATCTCCTCTCTGGAGCTGGATTGGTCTTAGTCAGTTTCTCTATTCAGTGGCAGGCCTTTGTTAGTGTAGCCAACTGGTTGGCAGAGACGCTTGTGGCGACACTGACCATATGACTCCCAGATCGTATTCCATCTGGGCCTCTATTCACAAAGCAACTCGGAGTTGGAATGCTGATCTGGGATCAGTTCACCCCCCTTTGTTATTCATTAGGGTCTGAAAGGCAAAACTGATCCCAGATCAGCACTCCTTCTCAGAGACACTTTGTGAATACGGGCATTGTTGTCAAGCCTTCCACAATCTCTGTCAGTCACACTCTCTCGTCTCACACTGATACTGTGTGAGACGAGAGAGGAATTCAATACAAAGTTATCCCCTCTAAACATTGGACCTCTTTGTTTTCACAATGTATGATACCGCTGCAGAAGAGCAGTGTGTGTGCATGTGTTGTGGGGTAAAATAGGTATCCTGATCTCAATGGGACCTGGATAATTAAAGGTTAAAAAAACATGGATGTGTTATTGATGTTCTCTTCTTCTCTGCTTTCTTCTCCTTAGTGGGATTGTTGCGGCGCATTCGGAGCAGACGACTGGAACCTCAACATCTATTTTAACTGCACGGACACCAACCCCAGCCGAGAGAAATGTGGGGTCCCCTTCTCCTGCTGCACCAAGGACCCTGCGGTAAGGAACTCTCACAGGGGCTAGGGAGGGTTGGTCAGAGACATGGGTCATGGGGTTCGACAAGTCAAGTCTGACATTTTAAAGTGGAAATTACAAACTTTAGAAGCCTTTTTTAACCTCAACTACACTACAAGTTTGCATTTCCTACTGTGCAGGAAAATTCTCTGCAACAAAAGAGTGGTCAAATGAAGATCATACATCTGTATACATTGAAATGAATGAGTACTGTAGTCACTGAAAATACAGATTTACATGGTTTTCCAGTATTTGGTTAGTGCCGATGACAGTATCTATGAGACGGCAAAACCCATTTCTCAGACTGGCACCAAAGTTAAGGGTGCCAACACACTGGGATTTTGTGTCCGAGACTTTCAGATAGAGCCAATACTTTTTAATTGGGAGTCATCCGTTGCCGGCTGAATGACAACGGATGATGATTGTCCGACCAAAAAACGGTCCATCTTTTGAACAGGAAATGGTCATGTGTGTCAGTGGTATTATCAGTGGTTGTCAGGGTTATGATGACAGTTGACATCTGCTTTTTCTGATAACACTTCTATTTCTCTTCATTAGGAGGATGTGATAAACACACAGTGCGGCTATGACGTACGAGCCAAAACGGTGAGTGCTGTTCCATTTCTCTCCTCTTTCCCTCTCTACCGCCTTCCTTTTTCCTTCTACATATTTCCTTGATATAGTTAGTGGCCTTTATTATGATGGCGTCTAAGAGATATTTCTGAGAATATAGAAAGTCAAATTATATTATAAAAGGGTTATATAATAAATGATCACATATGGTTGTATATGCCATTTGCAGGCTAACGAGCTCCCTCTAATAAACATGTTACTGTCCCTTGTTGTAGGACGCAGAACAGAAGACCTACATCCATGTGAAAGGCTGCGTGCCACAGTTTGAGAAGTGGTTACAGGACAACCTGACAGTAGTGGCTGGGATCTTCATAGGAGTTGCGTTGTTACAGGTGAGAGAAACATTTATTTCACTACTTTCAGCCTATTGTAGAAAGGGCCAGCTACTCTCCGATTCAGAACATTAACTTGTCTCAGCAGGGTGACAAGGTGTTGAAAGCGTTCCACAGGGATGCTGGCCAATGTTGACTCCAATGCTTCCCACAGTTGTCAAGTTGGCTGGATGTCCTTTTGGTGGTGGACCATTCTTGATACACACAGGAAACTGTTGAGTGTGAAAAACACAGTAGCATTGCAGTTCTTGGCATAAACCGGTGCGCCTGTTCAAAGGCACTTAAATATTTTGTCTTGCCCATTCACCCTCTGAATGGCACACATACACAATCCATGTCTCAAGGCTTAAAAATATTTATTTAACCTGTCTCCTCCCCAGATTGAAGTGGATTTAACAATTTACATCAATAAGGGATCATAGCTTTCACCTTGTCAGTCTGTCATGGAAAGAGCAGGTGTTCATAATGTTTTGTACACTGTGTATATGCTATAAGTATTGTAGAAGAGCAGAGAAGCTTGCATGTGACTCAGTCACTGGTTACTATGGCTGACCCTGTAAAACAACACATTTCACTGCAACTATCCAGTGTATGTGACAATATAAACATTTATACACTGAACAAAAATATAATTGCAAAGTAAAGTGTTGGTCCCATGTTTCATGCATGAGCTGAAATAAAAGATCCCAGAAATGTTCCATATGCACAAAAAGCATATTTCTCTCAAATGTTGTGCACAAATTTGTTTACATCCCTGTTAGTGAGAATTTATCCTTAGCCAATATAATCCATCCACCTGACAGATGTGGCATATGAGGAAGCTAATTAAACAGCATGATCATTACACAGCTGCAATAAAAGGCAGTGTGCAAAGCTGTCATCAAGGCAAAGGGTGGCTACTTTGAAGAACACTTATTTGGTTACTACATGATTCCATATGTGTTATTTCATAGTTTTGATGTCTTCACTATTATTCTACAATGTAGAAAATAGTAAAAATAAAGAAAAACTCTTGAATAAGTAGGTGTCCAAACCTTTGACTGGTACTGTATATTTCTATGCTAATGAAAACATCATTTAATTACAACAGACATCACATTCATAATTATCTTTCTTTTACAGATATTTGGAATATGCTTGGCACAAAACTTAGTCAGTGACATCGAAGCTGTGAGAGCAAGCTGGTGAGAAAAATATCAAATACTTCAAATTAACGTCTCTCAAGTTCATTCTATCACATCTTATGTATTTCCTCATTCCCTACAACTTTTTATTAACTGGATTCATTATTGATTTTGACACTCCATAGACATAGCAGCATTGAAAATCTAAGTGTGCCACCATGTAGACTAAACTTGCACTACTACGTCATGGAAATCCTTTGACGAGGGAATTTGGAATCACATTTTCAAAACCAGACAGTATTTTAGAAAAAGTGCTTCATTATATTTGGCATAGAATGAAGTAAGAAGATATTGCGCCATATGTATCAAGCTTCTGTAAATGTAACAATGGTGAAAGACATTTTAGAAAATGGTGGAATTGAACTCCTACTCTTAAAATGAAGAAAGAAGTTCAACAGTATTGATGATTGTAACCACTAAATCTGCATTTTACAAGGTTCTTACTAGTTTTTCAAATACATAATCAGCCTAGATCCAGAGTATAACTTTTATGTGTAGTTTCTTTGACTTTGCTCTGGTACCTAACTTAACCTCCTAGTTTGAATGAGTCATTTCGCAAAGGTTCTGCGCTCTGCCACTCCTAGCTGGCCACTCAGCTAGGAGACAGAAGCACAGCACCCCCCCCACTCACTCATGCCAACCCCCACGTCCACATCCCTGGCAGGGTAGCTGTGTCACAATGCCACTTTGTCACACCATCGCCATGCCAACTCACGCTTCATTTTTCCTCCCCCATGCTTCGTCAGAGTGCCCCCGCCCTCTCTCTCTCCATGCACCGCCCCCCCGCCTCACTCTGGAAAGAAAGGGTCTGCATACTACGCGTGAGGAACGTGCTTGCGAGCGTGTATGAACTGTAGCCGGTGGGTGTTGTTGTTGTCCTCCGTATGAACTGTAGCCGGTGGGTGTTGTCCTCAGTGAATCAGTAGTAGTCACTGTGTAGTGAATGATTTACCACAGCCCAGACCCTGCAAGACCCCCTTTTCATTGATAACAGTCTGTTAACATTAATACAAAGTAGCCCCAGATCAGTATCAGGGATTACAACTCTGGCAGGGACATTAGGATTATAGATCGATTGTGTTTTATTTGGCCCCCCAAGTTTTCTGAGCAAAAAAAAAAAGAACATTTTTCATTGTTGGGCATAAGACTGTAAAAACACCAGGAAATCAGCTCTTAAGTGATTTTAATTTAGGAAATCTGTTCCCAAGTATTCCCACGCATAATAGAGGGACATATGTGATCGTATACAAATAATAATAGATTGGATTTATATAGCGCTTTTCTACCAACTGATGTACTCAAAGCGCTTTACATAGTAGGGGGAAACTCACCTCATCCACCATCAATGAGCTGCACCCACCACAGTGATGCATGGCGACCATTTTTGTGCCCGAACTCTCACCACACATCAGCTATCAGGTGGACAGGTGAGGAGTGATATATGCCAATCAGGAATGAGGGGAATTTAGCCATGACACCGGGGTGAACACCCCTACTCTTACAATAAGCGCCATTGGGATTTTTAATGACCACAGACGTAAAATCCCCCATTTTTAACGTCCCATCCGAAAGATGGAACCCTACGCAGGACAAGGTTTGAAATGATTGTTTTAGTCAAATATTATATCCGTTTAGGCTTCTTGCTGTCAATTGGTAGTCTAAAAATATATTTTTGTATTATGTTCTGGCCCCCGACCATCCGCTCAAGAAAAAGATTGGCCCGCGGCTGAATCTAGTTGATGATCCCTGACGTATACCATTCATATGGGTATGTGAACCAAAATGTCAGGCTAAGATGGAGGCTTAACTAGCTCACTGTTGGTGGCAGTCTGCCAATAGATTTAAGGACATGACCCATTTCCTTCACCCATCAGTTCAACCCAGATCCTGTAGTAATGAAGAATGGAAACAGTTTCAGAATAATGCCCAACTTCCCTCAGATCCCTCGGCCACTGATGCCCTGAGCCAAGCCATCACTCTTTGCCTCCCTGCCCAATTCCCACCAAATGTATCCACCAGGGGTGTATTCAGGATGCATTACATGTTCACCGAAAATTCAAATGTAAATTGAATTTAACATGTGGTTCCAGAGTATTGTGAACACTATTGAATATGCAGCAGAGTGGGACTGAAAAACACTTGATAACATTTGACAACTTCAGGCATTCTGAATGCACCACCTCCCTGGCTTTGCTCTTATGTAATAAAAGGAACACGTTTTAAACCTTCCTTTTTCTTTCTGTGTAGTTTATTTACCTGATGTCGCGGCCCGTCTTCACCCAGGAACGCACAGGTAAGGATCACTACCAAGTCACCTAGCTGAGCGTAATGGTTATAGTGCACTTTTGTCGCAAATACAACCATGTTTTCTTAAGGTTGGCCCCAGTAGTACTGGGACTATGATTAGTTTGTTTTAAGAGCTGTGTCTGACCTTGATGTCTGTTTGTCCTAAGGTCTCTTCAGCATGGCTACGCCAGTCTCGGAGCATCAAAAGATGCTAGAAGCCTGCTAGAACTGGGAATTATTCCTGATACCACCTGCACCATATTCCTTCATGATGACTGGCACATTCTGATCCTTTTTAAAGATGTGTTTGGGGTTGAAAAATTCCAGTAACTTTCTCCAAATTCCCAGGTTTTCCAGAAAACCCGGTTGGAAGATTCCTCCAATCAGGATTTCTGGAAAACCTGGGAATTTTGGGAAAGTTGCATCCCTTTTGTTCCATGGGGTTCCATCCATGTGGTAAACACTGTGTAGAAATGTACAGAAAATAATGAAAACAAAAAAAAACTTTGGCGATGGGGGGTGTTTGTAAATGCACTGCATGCCTATCACAATGGCAAGGATTCTCATTTCATGATGATGTACAGAAGTTTTTATTGACAGGTATTTTTAACAGTAAAATGGTAGCTGTATTTGTGGCGACACTGAGCTTAGGGAAGAGAGTAATGGTGCTAGAATGCAAATGTACAGTAGTCGCAGCCTTCAAGTCACGTTTGCTTTGAACTGCTGTAGCCTTGTCGGCTCAAGCGTTTTTGTGGCACAAATGGGCATTCGTTATATTTCATGGCATTTCTACCAGACCTGGGTGAAATACATACAGGTACTTGAGGTGGGCTTGATTTAGCAAGAGTTTGCACTTTTGGGACTAGTTGATTGGTTCCATTGTAACAGACAAGCTAAATCAAGCAAACTTCAAGTATCAATGTATTTGACCCAGGTCTTTATTTTTGTTGACCTGTTGACATTGTTAGTGCTAATTATTAATAATTGCTAATAAAGAAGGGACAAGACAGAAAGTGATTTGGCATCCTCTTTCTATGTCAGACTCCATTACGCATTCATGTTTTGGTCAATGGTGCTTTTGCCAGTCCCTCAGATGGAACTATTTCTAATCAGAAACGGTGACAAAGGTGTTCATCTGATCAATGGACATTATCACCACTGTCAAAACTACTTACAGTATGTTTGCCAGGCCTATCGGAGCGCCTCAAAGCCTGATGGGGCTTCTGCTTACCCCTAACATAATTGTCTCAGATCCATGATGGGGAGTGAACAAAGATAGATGGGAGGGGACAACCATATGGAATGGAATGCGGCCTAGGTGACACCATAGCCCTTGCCAATGCACTCAGGAAACCCTGTTTGACACAATGAATGAAACATGATTAGAGCTGCTTATCAATAATATGAAAGACACCCTCTTCTTACTAAACTCAGTAAAAAAAAGAAACGCCCCTTTTTCAGGACCCTGTCTTTCAAAGATAATTAGTAAAAATCCAAATAACTTCACAGATTCATTGTAAAGGGTTTAAACACTGTTTCAAATGCTTGTTCAATGAACCACAAACAATTAATGAACATGCACCTGTGGAACGGTCGTTAAGACACTAACAGCTTACAGACGGTAGGCAATTAAGGTCACAGTTATGAAAACTTAGGACACTAAAGAGGCCTTTCTACGGACTCTGAAAAACACCAAAAGAAAGATGCCCAGGGTCCCTGCTCATCTGCGTGAACGTGCCTTAGGCATGCTGCAGACCCTCCCAGCTGCAGTCAGAGCAGGAGATGTTCACCCCTCCGCGTCCAGACTGCAAATGAATCGCGCATGCGGGAAGCATGCAAAAAAATCAAGAAATAAGTAACTCCGCCTGTGTCTCTTTTGGGTCACTTTTGCCGGTCCCAAGCCCGGATAAAGGAGGAGGGTTGGCATTGTGACATAAAAGCAAGAATCGACAGAAGAAAGTTCATTTGTATTTCTAAACATATTTAGGGTGTTTTTTACTCACTTTTTGTCTCTCCTACAGGGTCCATCACAATTAAATGCACATGGCCAATTATGCTAATAAGGTGATGACGTCATTTAGCGACTTTTAGGACAGCCAATAGCTACTCTCCTTACTGAGGAGTTGGCACACCAGCCAGATTAAGTTAACGATAGCTAGCTACCCCAGAAATTGCTAATAATTTATGTATCAAAGATATTTGCAAACATTTTTGATCCTGCTTGTTTGTTCCGGATCTTATTTCAAATGCTCACAAACACGTTTCCATTCGGTCGTTACCAACGCGCTATTGTAAACACATCGTTGGTGGCCGGTGTGCTTGTTTGCAGACTTTTAATTTGACACGTCAAATAATACAATTTTATTATAGATGTTGTGTGTGCTGATTTTGCATGTGCAAGCCAAGCGCCACCACTAGGATCAGTAGCACTGTCAAAGCTGTACAAAAAAAGTCTGCAAACAAGCACACACCGGCCACCAACGATGTGTTTACAATAGCGTCAAATAGTGTTATTTGACGTGTATCTTTTTTGACACGCAAAGACAAAAACGGCGTTCCATAATATGCAGTACAAACTCTAGGAAAAACAGAGAATACACTATAGCCAGCAATCATCTTTAATGATCTGTTTGAGTTAATCTTCCAAATGTACAACTCAATGACATTTACAACAAACATGTATGTTTATAATATCGTAATGCAGTTAGTTTGTAGTTACATCTTGATTGGATTGTGTCTTTGTAAGGTTACAAATCTGAAATTACCATTCATACCTGACAAAAAAAAAAAAAAAAAATCGAACAAGACGATAGTAAACAAATAATTTATATTTTAAAAAACGCCTATGTCACCAGACGGTGCCTAACGCAGTATCCAACATGCTGGAATGGGCATGTTTTCGATACTTGGAGTGGGAGAGAAACAATCACACATGCAAACAAAGCGCTGGCTGGGAGAAACCATAGAGCAGTACCACACGTAGACGGGGATCTTCTCTGGCTGTCCGGACTGGCCCATTCTGACAGGATTATGGGGAGGTTCAGTGTAGCTGTCAGGGAGACCATAGTGACTATGTGAAACGACGTTCCAGGTCATCTCTTTTGCAGTCGCATTACATAGATTATCAGATCTCAACACCTGGAGAAGTGTTAAATAACTTAGGAACCACATTAATATGATACAGAAATCTTCTGAAATGTGCAGCTCTACTGCAAAAAAAGATGACCTGGAACACCCCCCATTGGTCTTCCCTGGCACACCCAGCTCATCATAAAGGCAAAAATCCACACATACATATACTACACACCTGGTATGGCTGACTGCTTCACTGTACACTCTCACAGAGACCAGGAAGGGCGTGACCATGTTCATCTGGGGGTTCTAACTTCTAACCTACGCAGGATTCCTCAATGTCAGGTGAGAACTTGTATGTGCTAGTGGAGCCCTAGCCTGGGGTATGTTCAGTTGGGGTTAAACGTTTACAACATTGCAGATAGAAATGTAACACATTTAGTTAACACGATCCCCTATTCTACTCGACAGAAGGTCACATCTGTTCTACATAATATATTTACATCTGAACATTCTGTAACATTTCACCATTCTGAACATACCCCTGATATAACACTAAGGTTGTTGGGGACAGTAAGGTAGGTTGTTTGAGACAGTGAGTTGAGTTTAGTCAGGTTTGTATGAAAGTTAAGGGAAGAGAGAGCGATTGGTTGGGATTATCAAGCAAACTCCTTTCAAATGCCAGTTTAAGTACAAACATGACTGAACTCTACTCAGCTCTGGAAGATCTGCCCAGGGCTGTGGTTTTGGGTACGTGAGAGGGTCAAAATGAACATGGATACACCAACTGGACTAAAACATGCATGTCGTCTTCAACTCGGCTGGCACTCAAGCTAACATGGGACACAGGATGGATGCATGGCTGCTTAGTTCAGACCACCCTAACGCCCGTTGTTTGTTATTTTGTATTGTTTTTGTAACTTTTATGGTGAGTTATTGAATTGAACGGGTATCACAGCGATGGTCATCATAAAAAGTGTTCTCTCTTTGTATGTTTATCTATTGCAGAAAGAAAAGGCTGTCTTGTCTTTATTATGGAGTATGCATGCGTGAGCGGCGGCAGGCTAAAGGCAGGCTGTAAGGCAGGGGGGGGGGGGGGGGGGGTACGTTTTAGCTGGAGCAGCTGGCTGTTGACAGGGGAAAGGGACAGGATACCTTGGCACGTGACGATGGGACACACATAGGGAGGTTCTGGAGAGAGAGAGAGAAGGGGGGGCAGGCATTGGGGGGAGTGGGGGATTGTGGGAGTTAGAGTCCTTTAGCTTTGTGCCGTTAGCCTCTGCTCTGTGAGCGACGCCTGGTGGGACACCGTTTTGTTCTCGTGCGACCGCAGCTTGGAGACCACGTCGATGAAGGCCAGGCCCTGTACTTCTTTATGGAGTGGCTCTGGAGGAGGGAAAGAGAACAGCAGGTCTCATTCAGAAATCTTTCAACCAGAACATTCAGCTACATCCCAATGTCCATACTAGTATCCCACTCTGTGCTATGCCTTAGTTTGGATATTGGAGCAGAAGCTGTGTCTTATGTCTTCAAAGTGTCCGCCCCTTTTACCTGAGCCCATGACCGCACAGATGATGATCATGGAGTTGTATTTGATCTCCGGGGCGGTCCTCTCGTCTGAGAGCAGCTTGTGGAGCACCTGCACCAGGCCAGCCCCGACAAAGTCCTTCTCAGCCCCCACTGAAACCATGAAAAACACACTTACTGTAAGTGACAGACTCATTTGTCCAATTGTTTTAATGCATTTCAATGCCCCACCAGAGTCAATGCTTTGCTTCTGAGAAAGGGTGTATTGAGCACCCCGTTACAAATGCTTCAACAGTGAATTCCATTTATACAGTGCGTCTCACTAGGTCCAAATTGCTTTCCATTGTATGGTTCTAACTCGCCCTGTGCATGAAACTACTTTCAGTTGATTCTAGCCATGCAATACATCGGGTCATGTTCAGTAAGCATGGAAATAGAAACAGTTTTTTTTTCAATTTCTAAACATTTTACTACAGTATGCCCTACTGAACACGACCCAGGCTCTGTCAAAGGAAGTGCTACCAATCTGGCCCTTACAAAACCATGTGGCTAACACAGTAGTTAGAATTAGGCTGCACTGTGACATCATGAACCTGACGGTGACCCCTGACCCTTACCCAGGTCCAACCCGGCGATGAGGCCCAGAGCCACCAGCGCCTCGTTCTGCATGATCATGTGTTCGCTCGTCGCCATGACTACTAAGTGCTTCACGCCTGCCCCCTGGATGACTGTTTTTACGACGTCCTAAAACCACAAAACAAACAAACAAATGAACAAACAAGACATTTCAATGGGGCACAATTCTAAATCGCTACTCATCAGGACTGATTAGCTGAAATCAGGTGTGTTAGTTCGAGCAGGGTGGGAGCAAAAACCTGCACACCCAGTGACTTTCCAGGAGAGGCCACTAGGCCAGTCCACCCCTGCTCTAAATGATACATGACTATTGTACCGTGCGTAGGAAGGACATCTCTAGTGCTGCCACAGGGGTTCTATTCAATCTAGTGGTCTGCAAATAGGACGGACACTTTTAGAGCCTGGAGGTCACAAATATACAGATTAGAAGGAGAAAACCAGTCCAAGTTGCACCGGAGTCATTCTTCCCTGAGATGAGACCAGATGGGAAATGTAGCAGAACTCCCAACACTAGCTCTAGGAATGAACCAACAAGGAAGATCGTTAGACCATGATTCACATTCCGTTGTTCCCCTTGATGAATAATGAAACCTAAAGACAACATATCAATTCAGTGTGTGTGTGAGAGAGAGAGAACAGTTCAGGTATGAGTCAGGATGTATTCTGTGGTCGCAGTCAGACATCCTGCCAGCCAGCCAGTCACAGTGTGTGTTTCCATTGTAGCTGGCCCTAACCTTTGATTTGCTGTGGCGGATGAGAGCTGAGAGCAGTCTGTTGGACTCTCCCACGACTCCTGCATGGTCCTTGGCCTCACACCACTCTACCAGACACGCCACCAGCTTGGCATTGGTCCCCAGCTGGACTGCCGCATCCGCTGGGGAAAAAACAACAGGTAACGCTTTATTTTACAGCCCTATTTACAATTGGTAGCTCTCTGGTATATACACTGAAATGACTGGGTTCTTGAAATGATTCCCCCCAAAATTGAATTTTTATTTAAAATGGTTCAATTCTTGGTAACAATGAGTACTTTCTCGTATTTGTCATAATGTCCTATCATGTTGAGTTGCCTGCTATTTTAACACCCTGTCAACATCTCACTGTGACACTCCGGTCCATAGCGACTCAATCAAAGATGGATGCCATCGATCTCCATGTCACTTTGGATCCAACTGGACTGCACTTGGCCTTGTCCGGTCCTCCCCAACCAAACCACTATTTGATGAAGATTCAACAACGTTTGGCAGAAAACATATTGCATTCATAGCCTCTTTTGTGGACTGTACATTCCTATCTAACTTTCCTATCTATGGCCTCCCGAGTGGCGCAGCGGTCTAAGGCACAGAATCGCAGTGCTTGAGTCGTCACTACAGATCCGGGTTCGATCCCAGTCTGTGTCGTAGCCGGCCGCGACCGGGAGACCCATGAGGCGACGCACAATTAGCCCAACGTCGTCCGGGTTAGGGGAGGGTTTGGCCGGCCGGGATGTCCTTGTCCCATCACGCTCTAGCGACTGCTGTGGCGGGCTGATACGGTCGCCAGTTGTACGGTGTTTCCGCCGACACATTGGTGCGGCTGGCTTCCTGGTTAAGCGAGCAGTGTTTCAAGAAGCAGTGCGGCTTGGCAGGGTCGTGTTTCGGAGGACGCATGGCTCTCGACCGTCGCCTCTCCCGAGTTCGTAGTTGCAGCGATGGAACAAGACTGTAAAAAAATATTTAAAAATCCTATCTAACTATGCTGAATAATTAAAAAAAAAAATTTGCACCTGCAGTTGATACTGATCAATTTCAGGACAAAGAGTCAGGTACGGAACAATTCAAGTTTAGAGCATCAGTAGGAAAGCCTTCTAGCCTCTATTTCGGAAAATGTTCCTTTATATCTTTCTGCAGAATTTATGGGTTGAAACATTCACACCTGTGACTGATTCTGGTCCATTTAAATAGAGCATGCGGCACAGACCGATGGTTAGGGCATCATTAGGAAGTTATTTTACAGTGTATTAAATGTGCTATATACAGTTGAAGTCGGAAGTTTACACTGAAAAATTCATCCAACTTATTGTGGGAAGCTTGTGGAAGGCTACCCGAAACGTTTGACCCAAGATAAACAATTTAAAGGCAATGCTATCAGATACTAATTGAGTGTATGTAAACTTCTGACCCAGTGGGAATGTGATGAAAGAAATAAAAACTGAAATAAAAAATTCTCTCTACTATTATTCTGACATTTCACATTCTTAAAATAAAGTGGTGATCCTAACTGACCTAAGACAGGGAATTTGTACTAGGATTAAAATGTCAGGAATTGTGAAAAACTGAGTTGAAATGTATTTGGCTAAGGTGTATGTAAACTTCCCGACTTCAACTGTAGGTGTTATAAAGATGTTCTACCTTGCGTGTCGATGAGCATGCGTAATGTCCCCAGCATAGCCGTAACCCAATAAATAAAAGATTAACTGTCAATAAAAATCCTTCAAAACTTTCTCCCTCCTCAGAGATGTATAATCTGCTTTGTTTCTACACTTCATTAAGTCTTGCTGACACCAAATACATTCTCTGTACTTTCACAATATTACCTAAGGCTAAAAGAGGAACTTAACTTCTAGTCAAGTCTTTCCTTACTTGTTGTAGTTTGCCAAGACCTGCCCCCACCAACAGATTACAAAAACATGCGGGGATGCATTCTGACGGGATGATTTAAACTTGCCGACCTATGAGTCAATCAGTAGGGAAAAAGTATTGATCCCCTGCTGATTTGTACGTTTGCCATGACAAGAAAGATCAGTCTATATTTAAAACCCAGAAAACGCATGTAAAATGTTAAAATGATTGCATTTATGAGGAATAAGTATTTGACCCCTCTCTCAGAAGATTCTGCCCCAGGTTCTTTTAACAGTAACGAGCTGATTAGGACACATCTTAAAGGGATGCTTCTAATCTCCTTGTTACCTGTATAAAAGACACCTGTCCACAGAAGCAATCAATCAATCAGATTCCAAACTCTCCACCATGGCCAAAACCAAAGAGCTCTCCAAGGATGTCAGGGACAAGATTGTAGACCTACACAAGGCTGGAATGGGCTACAAGACCATCGCCAAGCAGCTTGGTGAGAAGGTGACAACAGTTGGTGCGATTATTCGCAAATGGAAGAAACACAAAATAACTGTCAATCTCCCTCGGCCTGGGGCTCCATGCAAGATCTCACCTTGTGGAGTTGCAATTATCATGAGAACGGTGAGGAATCAGCCCAGAACTACACGGGAGGATCTTGTCAATGATCTCAAGGCAGCTGGGACCATAGTCACCAAGAAAACAATTGGTAACACACTACGCCGTGAAGGACTGAAATCCTGCAGCGCCCGCAAGGTCCCCCTGCTCAAGAAAGCACATATACATGCCCGTCTGAAGTTTGCCAATGAACATCTGAATGATTCAGAGGAGAACTGGGTGAAAGTGTTGTGGTCAGATGAGACCAAAATCGAGCTCTTTGGCATCAACTCAACTCGCCGTGTTTGGAGGAGGAGGAATGCTGCCTATGACCCCAAGAACACCATCCCCACCGTCAAACATGGAGGTGGAAACATTAGAACCTCCTTCCCTCAGCCAGGGCATTGAACATGGGTCGTGGATGGGTATTCCAGCATGACAATGACCCAAAACACACGGACAAGGCAACAAAGGAGTGGCTCAAGAAGAAGCACATTAAGGTCCTGGAGTGGCCTAGCCAGTCTCCAGACATTAATCCCATAGAAAATCTGTGGAGGGAGCTGAAGGTTCAAGTTGCCAAACGTCAGCCTCGAAACCTTAATGACTTGGAGAAGATCTGCAAAGAGGAGTGGGACAAAATCCCTCCTGAGATGTGTGCAAACCTAGTGACCAACTACAAGAAACGTCTGACCTCTGTGATTGCCAACAAGGGTGTTGCCACCAAGTACTAAGTCATGTTTTGCAGATGGGTCAAATACTTATTTCCCTCATTAGAATGCAAATCAATTAATAACATTTTTGACATGCGTTTTTCTGGATTTTTTTTTGTTATTCTGTCTCTCACTGTTCAAATAAACCTACCATTAAAATTATAGACTGATCATTTCTTTTTCAGTGGGCAAACGTACAAAATCAGCAGGGGATCAAATACTTTTTCCCCTCACTGTAGAACATTGACAGTATACTCAATCATGCATGGAGTGCCTTGGGAGTCTCACCAGGGATGGCCAGGTTGCGCAGGGCGCTGAGCGCGGCGTGCTGCACGGTGACATTACCCTCCTCCACATGGCGATCCAGCAACTCCTGCAGCTTCTGAACGATGCCGGATTCCACCATCTGGATGCAGTTACCATCTGGGGGTGGGGGACCACAATAGACTTTAAATCAGGAAAACATGTTTTATGAAACTCTGTGGTGTAGCGGAGTAATGGAATACCATGACTAAATGGCCTGTGACTAGTATTCAACACACTCTGAGGCAGTGGGTTTTCATTAGGGGGGAAAAACATCTGGAAGAAAATGGAGGGACGTGCAAAAGCCAATTCCCTGTTCTACATTATATACAGTGTTTTCGGAAAGTATTCCAAATCCTTCACTTTTTCCACATTGTTACATTACAGCCTTATTCTAAAATTGATTAAATAAATAAAAATCCTCAACCTACACACAATACCCCATAATGACAAAGCGAAAACAGGTTTAGATTTTTCTTCAAATGTATTAAAAATAAAAACATTATTACCTTATTTACATAAGTATTTCAGACCCTTTGTTATGAGACTCAAAATTGAGCTTGGGTGGATCTTGTTTTCATTGATCATCCTTGAGATGTTTCTACAACTTAATTTGAGTCCACCGGTGTTAAATTCAATTGATTGGACATTATTTGGAAAGGCACACAACTGTCTATATAAGGGCCCACAGTTGACAGTGCATGTCAGAGCAAAAACCAGGCCACGAGGTCGAAGGAATTGTCCGTAGAGCTCCGAGACAGGATTGTGTCGAGGCACAGATATGGAAGAAGTTTGGAACCACCAAGACTCTTCTTAGAGCTGGCCGTCCGGCCAAACTGATCAATCGGGGGAGAAGGGCCTTGGTCAGGGAGGTGACCAAGAACCCGATGGTCACTCTGACAGAGCTCCAGAGTTCCTCTGTAGAGATGGGAGAACCTTCCAGAAGGACAATCATCTCTGCAGCACTCCACCAATCAGGCCTTTATAGTAGAGTGGCCAGAGGGAAGCCTCAGTAAAAGGCACAACAGCCCGATTGGATTTTGCCAAAAGGCACCTAAAGGACTCTCAGACCATAAGAAACAAGATTCTCTGGTATGATGAAACCAAGATTGAACTATTTGGCCTGAATGCCAAGCGTCACGTCTGGAGGAAACATGGCACCACCCCTACGGTGAAGCATGGTAGTGGCTGCATCATGATGCTGTGGGGATGTTTTTCAGCGGAAGGGACTGGGAGACTAGTCAGGATCGAGGGAAAGATTAACAGAACAAAGTACAGAGAGATCCTTGATGAAAACCTGCTCCAGAGCGCTCAGGACCTCAGACTGGGGCGAAGGTTCACCTTCCAACAGGACAACGACCCTAAGCACACAGCCAAGACAACGCAGGAGTGGCTTCGGGACAAGTCTCTGAATGTCCTTGAGTGGCCCAGCCAGAGCCCGGACTTGAACCCGATCGAACATCTCTGGAGAGACCTGAAAATAGCTGTGCAGCGACGCTCCCCATCCAACCTGACAGAGCTTGAGAGGATCTGCAGAGAAGAATGGGAGAAACTCCCCAAATACAGGTGTGCCAAGCTTGTAGCGTTATACCCAAGAAGACTCAAGGCTGTAATCGCTGCCAAAGGTGCTTCAACAAATTACTGAGTAAAGGGTCTGAATACTTATGTAATAAGATATTTCAGTTTTTTCCTTTTCATTATGGGGTATTGTGTGTAGATTGATGAAAAAAAACAAAAAACAATGTAATACATTTTTGAATAAGGCTGTAACATACCAAAATGTGGAAAATGTCAAAGGGTCTGAATACTTTCCGAATGCACTATACTTCTAGAATCTGAGTTATATTTTAGTCATTTAGCAGACGCCAGAGCGATTTACAGTAGTAAGTGCAGACATTTTCATACTGGTCCCCTGTGGAAATAGAACCCACAACCCTGGCGTTGCAAGCGCCATGCTCTACCAACTGAGCAACACGGACCCTGATCTACTGGTGTTGTGGTGCTTACTACTAGAGAGAGAAGTGTATCTGTTCTACATGACATGTTTCCAGTTTGAGTGATGGGATTACAGTCAATATAAAGGCAGGTCAAGGCAGTTTTATCCTGAATAACCTATTTTGTTGGTTCCCTATCCCAGCAGGCAAAACTGGTTGAAATTATGTCAGTTCAACATTGCAACGGCATCATTTCAACAACGTCATTTCAACATTGCAACAACGTCATTTCAACAACATTTCAACTTGGTAACGCCGTCATTTCAACATGGCAACGATGTCCTTTCAACATTGCAATGACTTAATTTCCATCAGGTTTGCCCACTGGGCTGTTACATTTACATTTAAGTCATTTAGCAGACGCTCTTATCCAGAGCGACTTACAGTTAAGTGAGTGCATACATAATTTTTTTCATACTGGCCCCCCGTGGGAATCGAACCCACAACCCTTGCGTTGCAAACGCCATGCTCTACCAACTGAGCTACATCCCTGCCGGCCATTCCCTCCCCTACCCTGGATGACACTGGGCCAATTGTGCGCCGCCCCATGGGTCTCCAGGTCGCGGCCGGCTACGACAGAGCCTGGATACTGTTACTGTTACTTTGGGCAATATGTGCAGTAATCTCCTCACCGTTGCGGGCAAAGTTGGCGATGGCCAGTGCCCCTGCCAACTGCAGCTGGTGGTTGTGGGATGGTACCCAGGACAGGACCCTCTGAAACACGCTGCCCTTGCCCGCTTCAAACAGCTTCTGCATGGACTCATCTGAGGAGAGAGAGATGTGTCAACACAAACACCTGCCTACTGCATCAGAGGGGAGAGAGGCCATAAATAAAATGTCACAGCAGTTATTTACTAAACAAAAAAACACAGACCACACACACACAAATGTCACTCACACAAATAAGCATGCATGTTTCTGGCAGAAAATGTTACAGGATAAATGTCCTACTTCTTGGCTTCAGTATAACTGGAAGTGGTAAGAGAAGATTGGAAGGCTAGTAGAATGCTATGTTTTGAGGAACAGAAACGGGAACGAAAATGATCTATACTGTTCCGGAACAGAAACATTATTTTAAAAGTATGAGCATTTTAAAAAATCAGTCCCAGCATGCCAGCAACCCAGGATACGGCAACCTGTCATCAGAATCTGGCTCTGAGGATCATCCCTCAGAGACGAGACCTAGCCAAGCATTGTCCTCTACCATCTCCCCCACCCGCACATCTTCAGTCGCATCTCGCGCCCTACACTTGTCTGTCCATCACGCATATAACAACTAGCTTGCCCATAGCAAGCTGCTCTATCCGCACTGAGTGGTGAAGTAATTTAATGAGCCAAATTTAAAAAATTAAAAGGTTATGAAAGGAACAGAAAGGCACAAAATAAACCAGTACTTTGTTGGTCGGAACAGTGGAACGAAACCAAAAAAAAAAAAAAGAGTAGTTCTGTTCAGAACAAATGAAACATTCTCAGTTACATTCGGTTGTCATAAAATATTCTCAAATGGATGAAAAATGTATTCTCCATCATTCCGCTCAAAGTGAGGCTGAATCCATCTGAAGACTTCATCGTCCCACACCTGTCTTTTCATTCCCTAATCTCTTCCTTCCTTCTCCAACCTGCTCTTTCTTCCTACACTTTTCTTAGTCACTCTCTCACTCTATTTCTCCCTGTCTGTCATTTGGCCTGATGAAGTACATGCTTGAAAAACGGAAAAATCGTTGTTAGAAACTTAGAGGGGGAATCTAAAGATGCAACAACTAGGATGGGGTTGCAAATATGACTAGAATTGTGCCTTTGGCTTCTGGACCACGAAAGAAAGTTGATATGAAAACCAATAGAACCAGGAGAGAAATGACATAGCTGTGGGTCCAATAGGGCAGTAAATAGAAATACATCTGCCAAAATTATATAATTACTCCTGTCTATACAGAAATAAATAAAATCATTCAAAATACTTCACCAGAAAGCACGACTTAGCCACAGAGGAATCGAGGATCATTAGCTTCTTTAACAAAAATAGCTGCGGATTGTTTCAAATCACAAGTTCGTAGGTCTATTGCTATTTGGAAAGACTGGAATTTGTGCAGCGCGTGTGGCAATAGGCCTAGCTGATTTTTGAGTTGCGGCTGTCAGTGAAAAGCATATAAAATATGTGAAGATAATGTGTCGAGTATAATTTCAAATGTTGAGACAAGGGGGAGGGGTGTGTGGCGAAGATATAGGAGAGTCTCCCCAGAAGCTGGCAATCTTGCATTAGTTGACTTAACTTTTTGATTTTTATCAATTTTAAATTCTGATTTTTATGATTAACCACGCAATGATTTTGAGATACCATAATGTTATTATTGAAATGAAACTGTTCCACGAAAATGCGCATATTAAAATCATAACTGGTAGAAATGGTAGGATCAATTGTAAGCTTCCCCAAACTTGAAACTCACGCGCTGCCTATGAAGTCTTTGAAGCATTTTTAAAACACACTTAACTGTTTGAAACCTTAATGTTTTATTTCAGATTATGAGGCATGTCTTACCTTGCTTCAAAGGAGCCTATAGGCAAAATCCTACCATGGAGACATGCCTCATAGTATGTTTTCAAAATGCATACTGCCTCCAGCTCACATTGTAAAGTGGTTGGTGACGCGACGATATCCTGTTGCCTGCACTTGAATGGTGTTGGATTCTATCCTGAAATATACTTAATGTTACCATACTATAACTTATAGATGACTTTACATGTATAAGGAATGTATATGTTGGGGTCAATGAAGGATGAATAGGAACTTGGTGTATGCTTACAAAAGCATGTTTTACTCCAGCAGAAACCAGCTGAGGAGCTGCAGGAGAAATCCCGCTCAAAATAGGCTCTGTATGCTGTGAGCGTTTGATAGGTGTGTTGTATAACTAAGATACACGATGACTAACGAAAACACACACAGGCCAATTTAATTCCACTAAATTATGCAAATGACCCTATTGATGGGTTCTGACTTCTACACTTGAAATATCCTTATGTTACTGAGGGAGAGAGGGGAATGCAGAACGTTTACATTGTGTCAGAACATGTTATTGTTAGACATCAGGTATCCTATGGATACCACAGTCTGGTTCCAGTCAACAGGACAGCCGTGAGGAATTTGGGACGAGGTCATGTCAGATTAAGTGAGAAAGAACAGGCATCACTAAAGTCATGTCTAGCAACATAGATGTATTTGGCTGTCCAGATGTGTAAAGAGGAGACTCAGCATAGGAGGAAGGTTTAAATACCAGAGCTGGTGTAAATATGTCTTTGTCTTTTCAGCTGTTTGATCCAGTGGGTGAATAAACTTGGTTTGAGCTTTTCCTAGTTGTCCGTTTGTTTTAGAACCTCCCGGTTTTTCTTCTCCCGGTAATTTGTATTTACTGTCTTCTCATATAATTTTTTGGCCCAAAAGACTGCAATTGCCGGCTAACGAAAACCGTGATGTGTGTGTGTAGTACCTCCCAGCAGCAGCAGCACCATCAGATCGGAAGCAGTCTTGAGCTGGGCCACATCCTCCTCCCTCTCCCCGTCCACGGTGTGAGCCACCACGTCGAACAGACACTCCACAAGGCCCGCCTCCACCAACTGCAGCTTGATCACATCTGAGTGAGTGAGTGAGTGAGAGACAGTTATACAAAATTAGAAATGACATAGTTAATCCTATGGCGAGAAAGACCACCGCCTGGTAATGCTATCAACAACTTGTGATACACACACAAATGCTATCTCTCCCACAGACACACCCCACTCGTTTGTTCCTTTAGACTAGACACACCCCACTCGTATATGACGTACATCATTGTCCGTTTCTGTCCGTCAACAGTACTCAAGTCAACTATTTTCTGACCATTTGTGGGGTTTTTTGGGGTCGGACAATCATTCAGCGTTTGGCATTCATACGGCAATTAATGACTCGCATTGAAAAAGCATTGGCTGCAATTCTCGGACACAAAATCCCAGTGTGCCGACAGCCTCATCTTTTTTAGGATGTACAGTTGAAGTCGGAAGTTTACATACACCTTAGCCAAATACATTTAAACTCAGTTTCACAATTCCTGACATTTAATCCTTGTAAAAAACTCCCTGTCTTAGGTCAGTTAGGATCACCACTTTATTTTAAGAATGTGAAATGTCAGAATAATAGTAGAGAGAATGATTTATTTAAGCTTTTATTGATTTCATCACATTCCCAGTGGGTCAGAAGTTTACATACACTCAATTAGTATTTGGTAGCATTGCCTTTCAATTGTTTAACTTGGGCCAAACGTTTCGGGTAGCCTTCCACAAGCTTCCCACAATAAGTTGGGTGAATTTTGGCCCATTCGTCCTGACAGAGCTGGTGTAACTGAGTCAGGTTTGTAGGCCTCCTTGCTCGCACACGCCTTTTCAGTTCTGCCCACAAATGTTCTATAGGATTGAGGTCAGGGCTTTGTGATGGCCACTCCAATACCTTGACTTTGTTGTCCTTAAGCCATTTTGCCACAACTTTGGAAGTATGCTTGGGGTCATTGTCCATTTGGAAGACCCATTTGCGACCAAGCTTTAACTTCCTGACTGATGTCTTGAGATGTTGCTTCAATATATCCACTAATTTTCCTTCCTCATGATGCCATCTATTTTGTGAAGTGCAGCAGTCCCTCCTGCAGCAAAGCACCCCCACAGCATGATGCTGCCACCCCCGTGCTTCCCGGTTGGGATGGTGTTCTTCGGCTTGCAAGCATCCCCCTTTTTCCTCCAAACATAACAATGGTCATTATGGCCAAACAGTTCTATTTTTGTTTCATCAGACCAGAGGACATTTCTCCAAAAAGTACGATCTTTGTCCCCATGTGCAGTTGCAAACCGTAGTCTGGCTTTTTTATGGCGGTTTTGGAGCAGTGGCTTCTTCCTTGCTGAGCGGCCTTTCAGGTTATGTCGATATAGGACTTGTTTTACTGTGAATATAGATACTTTTGTACCCGTTTCCTCCAGCATCTTCACAAGGTCCTTTGCTGTTGTTCTGGGATTGATTTGCACTTTTCATACCAAAGTACGTTCATCTCTAGGAGACAGAACGCGTCTCCTTCCTGAGCGGTATGACGACTGTGTGGTCTCACGGTGTTTATACTTGCGTACTATTATTTGTACAGATGAACGTGGTACCTTCAGGCGTTTGGAAATTGCTCCCAAGGATGAACCAGACTTGTGGAGGTCTTTTTCTGAGGTCTTGGCTGATTTCTTTTGATTTTCCCATGATGTCAAGCAAAGAGGCACTGAGTTTGAAGGTAGGCCTTCAAATACATCCACAGGTACACCTCCAAATTTACATTTACATTTTAGTAATTTAGCAGACGCTCTTATCGAGAGCTACTTACAGTTAGTGAGTGCATACATATCCCCCCCGTGGGAAACAAACCCACAACCCTGGCGTTGCAAGCGCCATGCTCTACCAACTAAGCTACACGGAGCAATTGACTAAATTATGTCAATTAGCCTATCAGAAGCATGACATCATTTTCTGGAATTTTCCAAGCTGTTTAAAGGCACAGTCAACTTAGTGTATTGTAAACTTCTGACCCACTTCTGACCCAACACCATTATCCCAGAAACCCTAGACCCACTCCAATTTGCATACCGCCCCAACAGATCAACAGATGATGCAATCTCTATTGCACTCCACACTGCCCTTTCCCACCTGGACAAGAGGAACACCTACGTGAGAATGCTATTCATTGACTACAGCTCAGCATTCAACACCATAGTGCCCTCAAAGCTCATCACTAAGCTAAGGATCCTGGGACTAAACACCTCCCTCTGCAACTGGATCCTGGACTTCCTGACGGGCCGCCCCCAGGTGGTAAGGGTAGGTAACCACACATCTGCCACACTGATCCTCAACACAGGGGCCCCTCAGGGGTGCGTGCTCAGTCCCCTCCTGTACTCTCTGTTCACCCATGACTGCATGGCCAGGCATGACTCCAACACCATCATTAAGTTTGCCGACGACACAACAGTGGTAGGCCTGATCACTGACAACAATGAGACAGCCTATAGGGAGGAGGTCAGAGACCTGGCCGTGTGGTGCCAGGATAACAACCTCTCCCTCAACGTGACCAAGACAAAGGAGATGATTGTGGACTAAAGGGGGAAAAAAAGAGGACTGAGCACGCCCCCATTCTCATCGACGGGGCTGTAGTGGAACAGGTTGAGAGCTTCAAGTTCCTTGGTGTCCACATCACCAACTAACTATCATGGTCCAAGCACACCAAGACAGTCGTGAAGAGGGCATGACAAAGCCTATTCCCCCTCAGGAGACTGAAAAGATTTGGCATGGGTCCTCAGATCCTCAAAAAATTCTACAGCTGCACCATCGAGAGCATCCTGACTGGTTGCATCACTGCCTGGTATGGCAACTGCTTGGCCTCCGACCGCAAGGCACTACAGAGGGTAGTGCATACGGCCCAGTACATCACTGGGGCCAAGCTTCCTGCCATCCAGGACCTCTATACCAGGCGGTGTCAGAAGAAGGCCCTCAAAATTGTCAAAGACTCCAGCCACCCTAGTCATAGACTGTTCTCTCTGCTACCACATGGCAAGCGGTACCAGAGTGCCAAGTCTAGGTCCAAAAGACTTCTCAACAGCTTCTACCTCCAAGCCATAAGACTCCTGAACAGCTAAATCATGGCTACCCAGACTATTTGCACTGCACCTCCACCCCATCTTTTTACGCTGCTGCTGCTACTCTGTTAATTATTTATGCATAGTCACTTTAACTCTACCCACATGTACATATTACTTCAACTACCTCAACTAGCCGGTGCCCCCGCACATTGACTCTGCACCGGTACCCCCTGTATATATAGCCTCCCTACTGTTATTTTATTTTACTTCTGCTCTTTTTTTCTCAACACTTTTTTGTTGTTTTATTCTACTTTTTTATTAAAAATAAATGCACTGTTGGTTAAGGGCTGTAAGTAAGCATTTCACTGTAATGTCTGCACCTGTTGTATTCGGTGCAAGTGGCCAATAAAATTTGATTTGGGAATTGTGATACAGTGAATTATAAGTGAAATAATCTGTCTGTAAACAATTGTTGGAAAAATTACTTGTGTCATGCAAAGTAGATGTCCTAACCGACTTGCCAAAACTATAGTTTGTTAACAAGACATTTGTGGAGTGGTTGAAAAACGAGTTAATGACTCCAACCTACGTTTATGTAAACTTCCGACTTCAACTATATATCTTCATGTTTTCTTTGTGTACCTTATTCCTACTTCGCCTACTTGAGTGTCAGAGTTTAACAAATGTGTCCACTGTCCATACATGGATAATAATAATATAATAATAATATGCCATTTAGCAGACGCTTTTATCCAAAGCGACTTACAAGTCATGCGTGCATACATTTTTGTGTATGGGTGGTCCCGGGGATTGAACCCACTACCCTGGCGTTACAAGCGCCGTGCTCTACCAGCTGAGCTACAGAGGACCACCTGGATAATGACGGTTCAGTATACACCCAGTTTACAAAACATTAAGAACACCTGCTCTTTCCATGACAGACTGACCAGGTGAATTCAGGTGAACGCTATGATCCCTTATGTCACTTGTTAAATCCACTTCAAATCAGTGTAGATGAAGGGGAGGAGACAGGTTAAATAAGGATTTTTAAGCCTAGAGACACGGATTGTGTGTGTGCGTAATTCATAGGGTGAATGGGCAAGACAAAATATTTAAGTGCCTTTGAACGGGGTACGATAGTAGGTGCCAGGTGCACTGTTTTGTGTCAAGAACTGCAACGCTGCTGTTTTTTAAAACTCAACAGTTTCCTGTGTGTATCAAGAATGTTCCACCACCCAGCCAACTATGGGAAGCATTGGAGTCAACATGGGCCAGCATCCCTGTGGAACGCTTTCGACACCTTGTAGAGTCCATGCCCCGACGAATTGAGGCTGTTCTGAGGACAAAAATGTAAACTGCACTGGTGGAATCTTTGCGAAACACCATGTTTGTTTTTGTTGTCTAAAGACAGACATTCAGCAATAAATTCAAACGCCTAAGTACATGTATTTGAGTCATGCGAGTGGCTGTAGAACAACTGCTATGTCCTTGTGTAATCAAAATGAGTCACTCTGGCAGGGAATTCATTACAGGAACTCAAGAAATTGAGCGGAGATAAAGAGTGGGCGGAGTCAGACTGAGAAACAAATATAAAAGGGGGAGGTGTAAATATAGTTGTAAGACATGAGATCAGTCTGCAGCTGGACTTCAATGTGATTTGCTGAATGAAACGGTCCACTCAAGAACATGGCTATGAACTGGAAATCATGTCTCACTTTTGTTGTTTCATTTCTGCTCTTTAAGGTATCCCACTTTGGTAAGTCTAACAATTCAGTTATCATCTTCAATTAATATTATCTTACTAGTATATAGACAGTGATTATAAAAAATGTTTACTAAATGTGCAGATTAGTACATCAAGTTTTATGTGGTCAATTATTTGCAAGAATAAAGTCAAAGGTTTGTTTGAACATAACAAAAGCTGTTTAGACACATTCAACACAGACATGAATTGGCCATTTTGGATAAGAATGTTTGGACATAGGACAGAGTTTGGACATAGGCCTATTTATCCATTTTCAAAGGTGCTGGATGCAAGTTTGTTTGTGCCGTTGTTTGCTAAGTATAGCACACAGTATGGCCAAAACTCAACCGACATTTTCTAAAACTCGACTGACTCCTGAAGTAAGAAATGGCACTGCACACTTCCTTTACCATTTCCTAAATCTGGGGCGGCAGGTAGTCAGCCTACTGGTTAAGAGCGTTGGGCCAGTAACCGAAAAGTCGCTGGTTCGAATCCCCGAGCCGACTAGCAGAAACATCTGCTGATGTGCCCTTGAGCAAGGCACTTAACCCTAATCGCTCTTGTAAGTCGCTCTGCATAAGAGCGTCTGCTAAATGACTAAAATGTAAATCTGTAACAGAACAGCTTTGGCTCAGTGGATAATGCCTTTTGTTTTTGTAGCAGAGTTTGCGACCACTGTTCCCAGTGAGACCCAGCTTGCCATCCAGGGGCAAAATACAGTCCTAGACTGCAGTTTCCCTGTGGACAAACAATGGGATCGAACGTGCTGCCAGATTGAATGGAAGTTAGACAAAGAGGTGGTCCACAGTTTCTACTATGGTCAGGACCACCTGAACGACCAGAGCAGTCGCTATGTCAACAGAACCAGCCTGTACCACTCTGATATAGAGAAGGGGAACGCTTCTCTCAGGCTGGAACATACCACCGTGGGAGATGAGGGAAACTATATCTGTACTGTGCACACAGAAATGGGCCCAAAGAGGAAATCTGTATACCTTAAATTAGCAGGTAACACCCATATATTTTTTTCTGCTAACTTGGAACTTGCTGAGAAACAATCAAGCACCTTGCATAACAGTTATATACATGTATGCATGACTCATGATTTTGCACTCTTTACAAACATGTTATTCAGTGGGACATTTAGTTGATTTAATTTAATCTCCAATGAAGTCAATTGGGGTTGTTATACAGTCATGCTTCACTTCATATTCTTAACACCTCCACTTCTGTAGAAAGCATACAGTTTTGGTCATGATACCTTTTCAATATCCAATTCTATCATTGTTGTGTATAGCGTTCTACTCTGAGCCTCGCCTGAAGTTCTCAACATCTGCCTGTGGTGTGGAGCTCCTCTTGACCACCAAGGGGTACCCTCGGCCCTCAGTGCAGTGGCTGACTGTCAGTGGAGAGGACGTCACCAACGACACAGTCACACACCTCTCCCAGGACGCACAGGGCCTATACACTGTTTCCAGCACAGTAACCCTGCAGGGAGCGGTCAATAAGACCCTGATGTTTGTCTTAAAGAACAAAGACCTGGGACAGGAGATCAGGAGAAACATCACACTTCTCTCAGGTAACTTAAAAAGGACAAGGAAATATAATGGATCTATGCGGCAGTGTGTTTGTTGTATAATGAAAATGAATAGAAGGTAGTTTATATACAGTACCAGTCAAAAGTTTGGACACACCTACTCATTCAAGGGTTTTTCTTTATTTTTACTATTTTCTACACTGTAGGATAATAGTGAAGACATCAAAACTATGAAATAACACATATGGGATAATGTAGTAACCAAACAAAAAAAGTGTTAAACAAATCAAAATATATTTTATATTTGAGATTCTTCAAATAGCCACCCTTTGCCTTGATGACAGCTTTGCACACTCTTGGCATTCTCTCATCCAGCTTCACCTGAATTCTTTTCCAACATTCTTGAAGGAGTTCCCACATATGCTGAGCACTTGTTGGCTGCTTTTCCTTCACTCTGCCGTCCGACTCGTCCCAAACCATCTCAACTGGGTTGAGGTCGGGGGATTGTGGATGCCAGGTCATCTGATGCAACACTCCATCACTCTCCTTCTTGGTAAAATAGCCCTTACACAGCCTGGAGGTGTGTTGGGTCATTGTCCTGTTGAAAAACAAATGATAGTCCCACTAAGCGCAAACCAGATGGGACAGCGTATCGCTGCAGAATGCTGTGGTAGCCATGCTGGTTAAGTGTGCCTTCAATTCTAAATAACCCACAGACAGTGTCACCAGCAAAGCACCCCCACACTATAACACTTCCTCCTCCATGCTTTACGGTGGGAAATACACATGCGGAGATCATCCGTTCACCCACACTGTGTCTCACAAAGACACAGCGGTTGGAACCAAAAATCTCAAATTTGGACTCCAGACACAAGCACAGTCCTCATGAGAGCCAGTTTCATCATAGCGCTTGATGGTTTTTGCGACTGCACTTGAAGAAACTTTCAAAGTTCTTGAAATGTTCCGTATTGACTGACCTTCATGTCTTAAAGTAATGATGGACTGTCGTTTCTCTTTGCTTATTTGAGCTGTTCTTGCCATAATATGGACTTGGTCTTTTACTAAATAGGGCTATCTTCTGTATACCCCCGTACCTTGTCACAACACAACTGATTGGCTCAAATGCATTAAGGAGGAAAGAAATTCCACAAATTAACTTTTAAGAAGGCACACCTTTTAATTGAAATGCATTCCAGGTGACTATCTCATGAAGCTGGTTGAGAGAATGCCAAGCGTGTGCAACGCTGTCATCAAGGGAAAGGGTGGCTATTTGAAGAATCTCAAATATAACATGTATTTTGATTTGTTTAACACTTTTTAGGTTACTACATGATTCCATGTGTGTTATTTCATAGTTTTGATGTCTTCACTATTATTCTACAATGTACTTTTTTTATTTTATTTTTACAAATAAAGAAAAACCCTTGAATGAGTAGGTTTCCAAACCTTTGACTGGTAGTGTATATCAAGTGAAACAGTAAGTAAGATAGGTAGGCCTACATAGATAGTGGAGATAATGTGTTGCAATGTTAATCTGACATTGCACCTTTTTTTTTTTTATAACAGGAAACTGTGTTGAAGTGTCACCTGGGGTTTGCCAAGAGATATGGTGGCTTGTTATTACTATCCTGGCTGTGATGCTGAAATACTGTTCATGTATCTAAGGGGGTTGGGTCTTGGTAACCATTTGTTATTTTGTTTTACAAATTAGTCCAAGAAGTAATGCCCGAAGATGCAACTAAGAAAATGTAATAAACGGTACAGAATGCATCTGTAAATGAGTAGTTTGTTATGCTGCATGTCTAATGTATATGTAGGCCTATGTACTGTATAGTGTGTATATTACAGGCATATGTCCTAACGTCGGTTAATATTTATATAAATGAATTAGTGTTGCCGCAATATAGTCTCTGGCTCCACCCTACATGACACAGAAATGAAGTGCTTACTTTACTTTACTTTACACAGATGACTTGGTTCTGTTGTCACCCACAAAACATGGGTTCAATTATAACTGAGCCCTCAACAGAGCCAGTTATCCATATTGTATAGAAAACAAAAAAACATAGAGCACCGTGTATACCAAACATTAGGAACACCTTCCTAATATTGAGTTGCACTCAGAACATCCTCAATTCATCGGGGGCAGGGACTCTACAAGGTGTCGAAAGCGTTCCACAGGGACATGTTGACTCCAATGCTTCCCACAGTTGTGTCAAGTTGGCTGGATGTCCTTTGGGTGGTGGACCATTCTTGATACACACAGGAAACGTACAAAAAAAAAACAGCAGCGTTGCAGTTCTTGACACAAACTGGTGCGCCTGGGACCTACTACCATACCCTGTTCAAAGGCACTTACATATTTTGTCTTGCCAATTCACCCTCTGAATGGCACACATACACAATCCATGTCTCAAGGCTTAAAAATCCTTCTTTAACCTGTCTCCTCCCCTTCATCTACACTGATTGAAGTTGATTTAACAAGTGACATCAATAAGGGATCATAGCTTTCACCTGGATTCACCTGGTCAGTCTGTCATGGAAAGAGCAGGTGTTCTTAATGTTTTGTATACTCAGTGTGTGTACACACACACTGAACAAAAATATAAAAACGCAACATGCAACAATTTCAAAGACGTCACTGAGTTAAAGTTCATATAAGGAAATCAGTCAATTGAAATGAATTCATTAGGTCCTAATCTATGGATTTCACATGACTGGGAATCCAGATATAGGCTGTTTTTCATGTTTCCGGCTAGTCCCCTTAACGCTACAGCATACAATGACATTCTAGATCAGGGGTGTCAAACTCATTTTAGCTCAGGGGCCACATGGAGGAAAATCTATTCCCAAGTGGGCCGGACCGGTAAAATCATGGTATATATAACTTAAAAACAACAACTTCAGATTGTTTTCTTTGTTTTAATACTATCAACATAAAACATAAAGCTGGAGCCTGAGGACAGTGTGTCCAAAATAGTACAAGCACAACATCACTACTAATCATAAAACACGTCAAGTTTATTTGAAAATTCTAAAGAAAAAGAACACACAAACACACAATGCCTCAGTGATTCACAGAACTGTTTCACAGATCACAGAACTATATCAGGGTGTCATTTCTCAGGCAGAAATGTAGATACAAATAATGAAATCCTGTTCCCCAAACAAGTGCAAGAACCACAGAGTCAAGAATAGGTTAAATATACAAATAAAATAAAATCAATAGCACATCAACATAAAAACATAAACATAAAGCTGGAGCCTGAGGACAGTGTGTCCAAAAGCACAACATCACTATTAATCATAAAACACCTCAAGCCATTTGAAATTCTGAGGACAAACAACACACAAACACACAATGCCTCAGTGATTCACAGAAGTATATCACAGATCACAGAACTATATCAGGGTGTCTCATGCAGCACTTTAAGTGGGGTTGCATAGTTTATTTGACTCCTGATACCTGGCATCTTTTAGCTTTCACCAGCGCATCAATATCAGGCGTCACATCCTGAGTGGCAGCCAACTTCAGGATGTGATTCAAGTGCTTGTGCGTGAGCCTTGAGCGCAGCTTTGTTTTATTTATGCTCATTACAGAGAACTTGCTCACAAAGATATGTGGTTCCAAACATGCACAACAGTTTTGCAGCGAGGGCTGTCAAGTTGGGGTAACCTGGCAAGAGATTCTGATAAAATGTGTCCAAGCCAGCTGCGGCAAATTTGCCCTTCAAATCCGAGTCACACTGCAAGTATATTATTTCAAGTTGGATGCTGACGGGCAGATCAGAGGGATTCACGGTTAATGGCGAACAAAAAACGTTGAAGTCTTTCTCCAGTTCACCAAAAATCTGAAAGCGTTGCTCAAACTCCCGTAACAGTCCCGTTATTTTATCTTTTAACCGCTTCATGTCTGCCACATGTTGGGTCGCGCACACATTTTTCAGACAGGGGAAGTGAGCTGCATCACCACCGGCGAGTTGCGTCTCCCACAATGACAGCTTCAACTTGAAAGAACGTATGCTGTCATAATACTGCGTGGCAACTTTGTTGCACCCTTGCAGCTGTTTGTTCAAGTTATTCAGGTGCTCTGTAACATCCACCATAAATGCAAGGTCCTGCATCCATTCTGCGGAATGAAATTCTAACACTGGTTTGCCCTTTTCTTCCATGAACTGTTCAATTTCTTCTCGTAAATCAAAGAAACGCCTCAGCACAGCACCTCGGCTTAACCATCTTACCTCAGTGTGGTATGGCAGGCCATAGATGTGGTCTTTCTCTCTGAGAAGGCTGTCAAACTGACGTTGATTCAGGCTTCTGGATCGGATGAAATTAACAGTTTGGATAATATTATAATAATAATAATATTATAATAATAATATAATATAATAATATAATAAAAATAATAACCACCTTCATGACGTTATCCATCTTTAATGACTTGCAACACAAAGCCTCCTGGTGCAAAATACAGTGAAAAGTCCAAAAATCACGTCCTCCATTTGCAGATTGCACTTTCTCTCTGAACTTTGTCACAACGCCTGCTTTTTTCCCGATCATTGAGGGCGCACCATCTGTAGCCAGGCTGACAGCGCGGGACCAGTCCACTCCGACCCTGTCCAGCGCGCTGACGAGTGCAGTGAAAATATCAGCTGCTGTCGTTGTATCTGTCATCGGCACCAACTCCACGGTGACGGTCAATGTGTCATCAACTCTGCGGATGAAAATGGCCAGTTGTGCAACATCTGTAATGTCCGTGCTTTCATCAATTGCAACCGAAAACGCAATAAGTTACTTTACTTTTTGCTTCAACTGGCTGTCCAAATCCACTGAAAGATCGGAAATCCTGTCTGCAACTGTGTTTCTTGTCAGGCTGATATTTGCAAAAGCCTGGTGCTTTTCAGGGCACACAATCTCCGCTGCCTTCATCATGCATGTTTTTACAAATTCACCCTCACTAAATGGTTTTGAAGCCACTGCGATTTCATTAGCAATGAGGTAGCTAGCTTTCACTGCAGCGTCACTGATGTCTCGGCTGTGAGTAAACACAGACTGCTGTTTCTTCAGACCCGCCAACAGTTCATTCACCTTCTCTCTTCTCCGCTGTCCTTGAAAGTTGTCATATTTGTCGGCATGAAGACTCACATAGTGGCGACGAAGGTTATATTCTTTCAGCACTGCAACATGCTGTGAACACACCAAACATACAGCTTTCCCATTCAATTCCGTGAATAAATAGAAGGCTGACAATTTTTCTTGGAACACTCTGCACTCTGCGTCCACTTTTCTCTTTTTTGACAGAGACATATTGGGGCAATGAGGGTGCCAAAGCACATAATGTTAAAAGTATCGCGGGCAAAACAAAGTAGCTCATCCGGACTGGCTGCACTTGCTTGACCTATTTGCTCTGCCCCAGTATAAACAGTTTGCTTGCTTAACACAATTGCTATTGCGCCATCCAGTGGACACAATTGGAACAGCAGTTTCTTTTATTGAAAAATTGCAGCTCATTTTTATACTTTACAAAATCATCTCGCGGGCCGGATTAAACCTGTTTGCGGGCCTGATCCGGCCCGCGGGCCGGACGTTTGACACCCCTGTTCTAGATGATTCTGTGTTTCCAACTTTGTGGCAACAGTTTGGGGAAGGCCCTTTCCTGTTTCAGCATGAGATTGACCACATGCACAAACGAGGTCCATACAGAAATGGTTTGTCGAGATCGGTGTTTTCAGAACTTGACTGGCCTGCACAGAGCGCTGACCTCAAACCCATTGAACACCTTTGGGATGAATTGGAACGCCGACTGCGATATACGAGATGTAATATGGTGTACTTATGAGTTATACATACCTAGCCTAGCGGTTAAGATCACTGGGACACTAACCGAAAGGTCGCTGGTTCGAATCCCCGAGCCGGCAAGGTGGAAAAATCTGTCGTTCTGCCCTTGAGCAAGGCAGTTAACCCCCAACAACAACTGCTCCCCGGGCGCCGATGACGTGGACATTGATTAAGAAAGCCCCCCCGCATCTCTGATTCAGAGGGGTTGGGTTAAATGCAGAAGCCACATTTCGTTTGAATGCATTCAGTTGTACAATTGTCTAGGTATCCCCCTTACCAGATCGATATATTCATTTTGTTATTAGTTTACCTTAGTATATGGCTCCCCCTCTTGCCCATTCATTGTACTGTAGCAAGTGTGTAGTCTTGAATAAATGGAGGAAGTTGGGCCTTCGGTAGGAGGAGTCTTAACTAGACTCGTCTTGACCATATGTTGCAGACCATACCATAGTATGTCTTTACAGTTCCAGTAATCGCAGCGGTCTAAGGCACTGCATCTCAGTGCATCTCAGTGCTAGATGCGTCACTACAGACCCTGGTTCGATTCCAGGCTGTATCACAATCTGGCCGTGATTGGGTGTCCCATTGGGCGGTGCACAATTGGCCCAGCGTCGTCCTGGTTTGGCCGGGGTAGGCCGTCATTGTAAATAAGAATTTGTTCTTAACTGACTAGTTAAATAAAGGTGAATTGTTGTTTTTTTATTCGTTTTTGTTAGATATAAAGGAAAACAAATAATTTATTGCACCATATCCCAAAATCTCCGTGAGTGCTTTTTGCCGTTTGGCTTTTGGGAATCTTGAATGTGGACTGTATGTGTTGGAAACAACCCTGCTTCAGGCTTGGGCAGTGGTTTTGGTCAAATGGTAAAGAAGTAACTAGAGTAGTACTGTCAAAGACGGGAGGGAGGGATACAGGGTTCGT